TAGTACTTTTTGAAGCTCGAGGGTAGTTTTAGTTCAAAAATGAAAGTTGAGGGACTGAATCGGGGATATAACCAAAAAAAAAAAAGAGAGAAAAGAATGAGAGAGAGAGAAGAAGCTACATGGTAGCATGTAACAAGAGATAATGCAATTTATCAGACAAGATTTCCTATTTTTTCAATCATATGTAACCATTCATATTGTGAAACACCGACACATCACATGATCTAATTAATAAACACTGAATCTAATTATCTACTAACAGAAACCATTACAAAATTAGTCACCTGATTCTTTGATACATCACCATTTGATATTGAAATGAACAGAACAGATCCTGCAATCCCATTACAAAATCAAGATTCCGTGCTGAGCTATATATTTGTTCAATTCCAAAACTAAATGGAAGTCTCAGAAGAAGAAAGGAAAACCCAGATTGGACATCTATTATTAATTTTATGAATTGAATGAATGGGGATTACACCAATCAAGATACAACTGAGAAAATGAAAACACTTGAATTAAACACCAAACAAATATCCTCCCCTAAAACCAAACTATTTGGCTCTGGAAACCATCTAAAATGGTGAAATTGAAGAGGTTTAAGTTAAACTCTGGTATGGACTCAGTACATCCCAACTACAGATTTGGATCAAGGCTGTTGCTGGGCATCCATGTATCCTGCATCAACCAGGACCTTTTCCCTCTTAGCCAATTCAATATCCTCATCCACCATCATCTTCACCAACTGCTCAAACCCAACTCTAGGCTTCCAACCAAGAAACTTCTTTGCTTTGCTTGCATCACCCTTCAAGTTATCCACCTCTGCGGGCCGGAAGTACCTCTTGTCAATCACCACATGATCATTCCAGTTCAACCCAACATACCCAAATGCCACCTCTAAGAATTCCTCCACTGAATGAGATTCCTCAGTCGCCACCACATAATCGTCCGGCTTTTCTTGCTGCAGCATCAACCACATTGCCTCCACGTAGTCCCCAGCAAAACCCCAATCCCTGGACGCCTGCAAATTCCCCAAAAACAACTTGCTCTGTAACCCGACCTTGATCCTCCCAACTGCACGGGTAATCTTCCTGGTCACAAAATTTTCACCTCTTCTTGGCGATTCGTGATTGAAAAGAATACCATTGCAAGCAAAAAGCCCATATGCTTCCCTGTAATTCACAGTGTACCAATGGGCAGCGCATTTTGATGCGGCGTATGGAGATCTAGGGTGAAAGGGAGAATTCTCCGACTGAGGAGGTGGAGTGGATCCGAACATTTCGGATGATCCAGCCTGATAGTACCGGATGTGATTCCGGCCAGTGGCGGCGATGTGGGATCTAACGGCCTCCAAGAGGCGGAGTGCTCCAGTGGCGACAACATCCGCCGTATAATCAGGGATTTCAAACGAAACAGCGACATGAGACTGCGCCCCGAGGTTGTAGACCTCATCAGGGAAAATGGTGTCGAGCCAACGGCGGAGAGAAGAGGCGTCGGTGAGATCTGCATAGTGGAGCTTCATGCGGGCCTTGTGGGCATTGTGTGGGTCGATGTAGATGTGATCGATACGCTGCGTATTGAAGTTGGAGGAGCGACGAATCAGGCCGTGAACCTCGTAGCCTTTGTTGAGGAGAAACTCGGTAAGGTAAGAGCCATCTTGGCCGGTGATGCCGGTGATAAGAGCGACCTTGTGGGCAGACGGCGGAGTTGGAGTGGCGTGGTCACCATTTCTGGTGCCGGATCTGGCCGTGTCATTTTCGGAGGCCATGGGAGCTAGATCGGAGGGAAGATGCAAGAGGTTTCACGGTGGAGCAGGAGCCGGAGCAGTAGCAGAGACGGGAATTGTAGAAGACGCGGTGAGCAAGCTTTTAATAGGGTGCGGGAGGGAAGGGCAGTCTCGGAATTGTCCTACAGTATGATTACACGGTGCAATCCGATTGGTTGGTGGGAAGTTACCATGTTTTTTGTTGGCAAAACCATAAGTTAAGCCCCTGAAC